TGTGTACCTACTTCATCCTTGAGTGACTCACTTTTCTCCCTCCCTCCTTCCATCCCTTTCTCCTCCCCTTCCCCCTCCCTCCTTCCTTCCTTTCTTTCTTTCTCTTTTTTTGGTTAGCAGTGCTGGGGGCTTGAACTCAGGCCCTGGGCACTGTCCCTGAGCCTCTTGACACTTGAGCCACAGCACCACTTTCGGCTTTTTCTGTGTATGTGGTGCTGAGGAATCGAACCCAGGGCTTCATGCCTGCAAGACAAGCACTCTACCACTAAGTCACACCCCCACGCCTCTGTCCTTCTTTCTTTTGTGCCAATCCTGGGGCTTGAACTCAGGACCTGGGTACTGTCTCTGAGCTTTTTTTATTCAAGCCTAACGCTCTACCACTTCGTCACAGCTCCACTTCTTTTTGGCTTTTTGTGGCTTCATTGGGGACAAGTCTCACCGACTGTTTTGCCTGGGTGTGCTTTGAAGAGTTATCCTGAGATCTCAGCCATTTATTTATGTCTTTGGTCGGTTGTGGGGCTTGAACTCTGGGCCTGGGATCTGTCCCTCAGCTCTTCAGCTCAAGGCAAGTGCTCTACCACTTGAGCCACAGCGCCACTCCCAGTTTTCTGGTGGTTTTTGCAGATAAGAGTCTCATGGACTTTCCAGACAGGGCTGGCTTTGAACCTCAATCTTCAGATCTCAGCCTCCTGAGTAGATAGGATTACAGGCGTGAGCCACCAGCACCCAGCAGATCTCAGCCTTCTGAGCAGCTAGAATTACAGGTATGTGCTATGTGTCTAACATGAGTTCACTTTATTTATTTATTTATTTATTTTGGGTCCGGTCGTGGGGCTTGAACTCTGGGCCTGGGCGCTGTCCCTCAGCTCTTCAGCTCAAGGCTAGCGCTCTACCGCTTGAGCCACAGTGTCACTTCCGGCTTTTTTCTTTTTGCTTATGTGGTGCTGAGGAATCAAACCCAGGGCTTCAGGCATGCAAGCAAGTGCTGTACCACTGAGCCACCTTCCCAGCCCTGAGTTCAATATTTTAAGAGTGTTTGAGGGCTGGGAAGTTGGCTCAGTGGTAGAGCGCTTGCCTTGCATGCCTGAGGCCCTGGGTTCGATTCCTCAGCACCACATAAGCAAAAAGAAAAAAGCCGGAAGTGGCGCTGTGGCTCAAGTGGTAGAGCGCTAGCTTTGAGCTGAAGAGCTGAGGGACAGCGCCTAGGCCCAGAGTTCAGGCCCCACGATGGGACCAAAAAAAAAAAAAAAGTGTTTGAAATGTTGGGAATGGAATCCAGACCCTCATACATGTAAATTAAATGTTCTACTAAGCTTCAACGCCAGTTTATTATTTCCGCACATCCCACCTGCAAAGATCACTGGGTAGCTGGGCACTGGTGGCTTATGCCTGTCATCCTGGCTACTCAGGAGGCTGAGGTCTGAGGATCATTGTTCAAAGCCAGCCTGGGCAGGAAAGTCGATGAGACTCTTACCTCCAATGAACCACCAGAAAACTGGAAGTGGAGAAGTGGTGCTGTGGCTAGAGCTGAAGAGCTACCCAGAGGTCAAGCCCCACGACAAAAAAAATCACCCGTGGCTCACACCTGTGATCCTAGCTACTCAGAAGACTCAGATCTGGAAGGTCACAGTTCAAAGTCATCCTGGACAGAAAACTCTGCAAGACTATCAGCAACGAACCAACAGAAAGCCAGGTTGGAGTCTCAAGTACTAGAATGCCAACCTAACAAGCAAGCTGAGTGAGTTTGAGGTCCTAAGTTCAAAGCCTAACATTGACTCTCCTCCTCAAAAAAACAAAACAAAACAAGTAAGAAGACAAAGTTGGATGTCTCCAACCCAATATCCATTTCTGTAGCACAGATTCAGTGGGTTTATTTTTCTTTTTTGGTATGTGGGTCCAGGGTCTTGAGCTCATGGCCTGGGCACTGTCTCTGAGCTTTTGTGTTCAGCACTCTACCACTTGAGTCACAGCTCCACTTGTGGGTTTTTGGTGGTTCACTTGAGTCAAGAGTCTCAAGGGCTCTCCTGCCTGGGCTGGCTTCCAACTGTGAGCCTCAGATCTCAGCCTCCTAAGTAGCTGGGATTACAGCTGTGAGCCACCAGCATTGGGCTCAGCATGCTCTTTGACACACAGGAAATCCTCGTGAGACTGGGGTTGAATGAATGAAATCAGCGATGCTTGGCAGCTAGACCCGATGGCTCCAGGGCTGGGAAGAAGTTTGACAAGGACAGTGACATACCGTGAGAAAGAGCCTCTCTGCATTCATGTTTGTTTTAAGCCACTGTCATTTCTTTCAGCAGCCGCACAGCCTGGGAAGGATTTCCAGGGCGTGATTGATTTCACCCAGGGCCATGGGAACTGCCTGGGTGGAGACACAGTGAACAGTTTTGAAATGGCTGAGAGGATGGCAGTTAAGTTCATGAGCAGGCTGGGCGCTGGTGGCTCACGCCTGTCATCCTAACTACTCAGGAGGCTGAGATCTGAGGATCAGGGTTCAAAGCCAGCCCAGAAAGGAAAGTCTGTGAGACTCTTATCTCCAGTAAACCACCAGAAAACCAGAAGTGGAGCTGTGGCTCAAGCGGTAGAGCACTTGAGCTGAAGAGTTGAGGGACAGCACCCAGGCCCAGAGTTTGAGCCCCATAACCAAAAGAAAAAAAATAATAATGAGCAGGCACTGTAATAGGAGAGAAAAAAGCAGAAAGAATGTGCTCTTCATTCATGCATTATTGAAAGTGTGTTATATTTATTTATTTATTTTTGGTGCTGATCCTGGGGCTTGAACTCAGGGCTTGGGCGCTGTCCCTGGGCTTTTTCCCTCTAGGCTGGCACTCTATCACTTAAGCCACAACTTTACTCCTGGCTTTTTGGTGGTCCGTTGGAGTTCATTGGACTTTCCTGCCCTGTCTGGCTTTAAGCCTCGATTCTCACATCGATCCTCAGATCTTCAAATACAAAGGCCCTGGGGTGAGATCATTCCCCTCCCTCCCCAACCCCCCCCCCCACAGGTGTAGGAAGGAGGCTGGAAGACCGGTAGGAGGGCAGGAATTTTTCCTCCTCACACCTGGCTTTTCTCACCAGGCCACTAGGGGGCACCCTGTGCTTGTGAGAGGGTCACCTCAAGGTCTCCTCCATAGGGTTGGCCCTCACGGAACCCTAACTGTCCCTTTGGGTTTTTTGGCCAAACCTGGGGTTTGAACTCAGGGCCTGGGCACTGTCCCTGAGCTGCTTTTGTTCAAGGCTAGCACTCTACCACTTGAGCCAGAGCATCACTTCCAGCTTTTTCTGTGTATGTGGTACTGAGGAATCGAACCCAGGGCTTCATGCATGCGAGGCCAGCTCTCTGCCACTGAGCCACCTTCCCTGCTTCCTCTAACGTCCTTTAGATGTCCTGATGGGTACTGCACGGGGATGAGAGCACGGGCCTGAACTCAGTGCGCCTCCAACGTCCTTATGACTTAGATGCTTTTAATTGATTGTTGCAGATTTATTGACTGTATTAAGATAATTGACAGGTGGTAAAGCACACAGGTATTATTAAATATATAACCTGAGAGCGAAAAACCTGGCAACCCAAAGCTATTTATTCCCCCCCCCCTCTCTCCCTCGGCCTCAAGCTTATTATCAGGCGGGCACTCTACCTCTACCACTTGAGCCTCATCATTTGGCTTGAGATGTGTGTGTGTCCTGGAGTTTGAACTTTAGCGTCTGGACACTCTCACGTGGCTTTTGTCACTCAAGGCTGGTGCTCTGCCACTTGGGACGTAGCTCCGTTTCCAGCTTTTTGCTGCCTAATCGGATAAAAGAGCCTCACGGACTTTCCTGCCCAGGCTGACTTCGAACTGCAATCCCCAGATCTCGGCCTCCTTAGTAGCAGGGATGACAGGCTTGAGCCACCGGCGTCTGGATGCCAGGAAGTCATCAATTATTCCACGCTTTTGAAACCTCTGTTACACAGGAGGACCCTGAGGCAAGGAGAAGGGTGACCTGGCCAGGGGGTCGCGGCGGGGAGAGCAGGTGCTCCCATTACAGCCTAGCGGGGCGCCGCCATCCAGGGACGCCCGAAGGGGCGTGGCCTCAGAACAGTAGGCGTGGCCACAGAGGACCTCCGTGCCGGTGGGCGTGCCCATCGCGCCGGTGGGCGTGGCCTCACCCTCTGCGCTCTCCGATAAGAGCCCGCGGGGCTGGCGCGCGGGTC